TCCCCCAGACTACCACGCCTACATTTCTATCCCTATCCCCCCCCTTCCCCCCCCCCCCAGGTCCTCTGGCCTGCCACTGACCTACACACCCCCTGGGCTGCCCTCCCTGAACCGCAGCACGCGGGCCTGCACTCTTTGGCCACAGTAAACCAAAACCTCTGCTCCCTTTGCGCAGGCATCTGACAAAGTGGGTCTTTGCCCAGGAAAGTGTATGCTCCAATAAATCTGTTCGTCTATAAGGTGCCACAGGACTTCTTGTTCCCTTTGCACATAATCTTTCAAAAAAATCCATTACTGTTCTTTCATGCACCAGATGCAAGTGTAGGGCACCACAATCCCTTTGATCTTTGCAGTTGTGGCCCCTAAGTCCAAATGATACAATTTGTAGAGGAAATAAATGTACAAGTTGAACCTCTCTTGGATGGCACTCGCTGGGCGGGCAGTATCTGTGGTCCAGCATGATTTTAGTTAGCCAGACGTCTGCTTATCATGGGGGGGGGGGCAAGTTTCCTCCCCTTTATCCCCTGGAGTAATGTGTGGGTGGGCCATAAAGGGTCACAAGTATCCCCAAATGCCATGAGGGAAGGGGGAAAAGGCTGGCAGCCACTTGGCCCGAGTTCCTGTTTAAGGAGGTTCCAAGGGGCCAAGAGAACTAGCGTGAATCGGGGGCCTGGCACCAGTAGCAGGGTTTGCTCCCTCCCCACTCCTGCACTCACTAGCAGGGGTGGCTGGAAGCAGAGTGACCTGGCCCCAGCCTGCTTCACTCCCCCAGCCACATTGAGAGGGTTTGGGACCACTCCCCTTCCTCTGCACCTACAGATGGTGGGAAGCAAAGTGAGGAATCTGAGAGCCAGGGGAGAAGAGTGGACAGGGGCTCAGTCTCTCCACTCTCCCCCACGGCATATAAATGCAGGTCAGGAGGGGCAGACCCATGCTGCTGGTATGATATTCTGCTGGTCCCTCAGGCCATGTCACTCGGGACAGAGGGCTTGGGGAAAGGGTTGGGATAGGAGCAGGGTAGAAGCAGGCAGGAATAGGCAGGCCCTCCCACAGGCTAGGGGTGGAACCAGAAGGAGTCACGTAAAGGAGCAGTCACATGTCTGTGCCCCCCTGTGTCCCTCCCCAGCATTTGCCAATGATTGCCCCTGTCTGCACCCCTCATTGCCCCAGGTTGGGACTACAGGGGTGGCTGCAGAAGCCCGAACCAGGAAGAGTCCCAGGGCTGGTAGCCAGAACGCCAGGCAGCAGCAGAGGGACCAGCGGACCGGTTCCTGGGCAGCAGCAGAGGGGCTGTTATGTGGGACTGGCAGTTGGGACCCTGGGGTTGTCATCAGAGCTCCCAGGCCGTTGTTGACCTCCCGGGGTCCAGCAAATTCTCTGGTTTGGCACTAGTCAAGTCCCAAGGGTGCCATACTAGAATAGGTTCAACCTGTAGTTTCTTCTGCATCAATGGAAAGATCTAGACACCTTTGAGAAAATACAAACTGAGAACCCAATCTTGTAAAGATTATGCATGTCTTTACACATTGTGAGTAGATCCATTAACTTTAATTGGATGATGGACAGGCCATCTGTAAAATTAAGCATGTGCTTGAGTCTTTACAGATTCTGAGCCAAGTGAGTCAACACTGGAACAGTCATTTTGACAGGAATTTTTTGTGACAGTTTTCATTTTTTAAATTAATAGTTTTTAAACTAATAGCAAATTTTCAAAAATGTTCAGGCAAATTAATTTCAGTGGGGTGGGAAAACTCTTTTTATTTTGCTCTTTTAAGTGAAAAGGTAAAAGTGTTTTTTCCCTACCAAATGAGGTTTCCGTTTGTTTATTTGTTTTCAAAAAAAGCTTGACCAAAACTAATATTTTTGTGAACATTTCTGTTTTTCTTTAAAAGACATTTTCCATTGAAAAAAAGGTAGAATTTTTTCAACCTACTCTGGTTAACACTTTAACAGCATTGTTTTAACTCTAAGGCTTTGTCTATACTGCAGGGCTACGTCTATATTGGCAAGATTTTATGCAAATACTCTTTAACGCAAGAGTTTTTACATTAGAGTATTTGAGTAAGAGAGCATCTACACTGGCATGTGCCTTTGCGCAAAAATATCCCATACATCTACTATATATTTACAAGAGTTTGTGCGTCTGTCTATCTGTCTATGAATCTATTTGTTCAAGAACTCCTAAACTGTAATAGTTAGGACCACCAAATTTGCTATGCAGCTTCCTCTTATCATTACTTAAAGCAAGGTAAGGATTCAGTTGAACCAGAAAAATGGGATTTGCTTGCAATATAATTGTTTCTCATAAAACGAAAAGGGAGGGGTCTGCTAGCAGTCACAGTTATACTGCAGAATGACCACAGGGTGATGGCCATCTGGTAGGACAATGGTGCATCTGTCTGTTTGTGAGTCCATTGAGAACTCCTCCTATATGGGATGAGATAGAGCCACCATATTTGATATGCAACTTCCTCTTCTTCTATCTTAAAGCCACGTCAGGGTTTGGTTGTGCTAGAACATCTGGAAGCCCTGGGAAAAGGACAGTTTTCCATAACATACAAAGGGAGGTGCTGTCATTTGGAGGGACGCAATATGAGTATCCACTGGGGGCAGCGAGTGCAGGGGAGAGCTATCCTGCAGAGTGCCACTGGGGGCAGCTGTACCACCAAGGGAGTAGCCAGCAGGGCTGGGGCTCCACCATCTCGCCTGCCAGTACACTGGTAAGTAGCCCCCACATCCCAAAGCCTTTCCGCCTCTCCTAGCCCTTGGTCACAGTGCCAGGAGGGAAGGCCCTTGGTGGCAGGGAAGGGGGAGGGGGAGAAGAGAACAGGCCCATGGCAGCTAGGGGATAGTAGTGGGGAGAGAACAAGCCCCTGCAGCTAGGAGGTCCTAGAGGGGAGATAACATGCCCCAGGTGTCTTGGGGGTTCATGAAGGGGTGAGCAGGCCCCTGGAGGCTGGGGGGGAGAACAGGCCCCTGGCCCCCAGCCTCCTAAACCCCCTCCGTTCCCCAAGGACCTGTCCTGAAGTACCCGGGCAACACCAGGTAATTCTGCTAGTTATACTATATACATGTAACTGGAATATATTGCAGATAGCGAGTAATAAGATTATTTGTCCGTCAGTATCCTAGGAGCTGCTTGAAATGACCCAATATAGATCCGAATCAGAGGGAGATCAATGAGCTTTGCCAGTTACTATGTAATTGCAGCAACAGATCAATCAGGCTTTGGACCTTTAATTATTTCCTTTCTGAGTTCCCTTTTGTGTGATTGAAAGAAACTCCAGAATCCCTGTGTGGAGGACTCCTTGGGGATCCTCTCTGTAATTACTGTCTTTGCAATTCTATTGTGATTAGGGACACAGAGTGGTAGCAGCAGCAGCAGTAGACTTACTGAGACTGCTTCCCAAGCAGGCTAGCTAGGAATAGTCATTAAATGGACAGAGGTAGGCTCTCCTTTGATGGATCCTTCCTACCTCCTTATTTTTGGGAGGGTTTTGTGCTTTAGCTGCTGCAGTGTTTGTTTTGTCTTTTGAATTCTCTGGGCCCCAGTGGGAACAGTCTTCCCCAACTGAAGTGAGTGGGATTTTTGCTGTTCACTTCTATGGGAGTATTCCATGGAAGTAAACTGTGAGTCCTGCTTTGCTCAGTGAGCACCAGCATGCCTCCTGACATTTATATAATTAGGCCTAGCTAGTGTAGTGAGAGACTCACAGATGTGATTTCAGGATCAGGTCCATAGAGATTTATCCTCCAAGGTCTCAACTCCTAAGATGAAATCCTGATCCAATTAAAGTCAACAGCAAAACTTTCACTGACTTCATCGAGGCCAGGATTTCACCCCATCTCTTTATTGAGCGTGGAGTGTTTAGTACTAACCATGGTAATCTCAGCAGGACTGACTGGGTTTAGCCCCCTGAAGCCTAGTCTACACTACATGGTTAAGTTAACATAAACTGCCTTGCACTGACTTAGCTGTGGAAGTGTCTTCACTTAAATTTGCTCCTGCCCCATCTAAGTCCATCTCTATGCCAACTGAGTAACTCCACCTCTCAGAGCAGTGCAAAGTCACAGTTGATGTAATTAGGGCAATTCAGTGTCAGTGTAAACACTGTTGCTTATATTGACTATTATTGTCCTTAAGGAGCCACCTCATAATGCCCCACGCTGGCAGTATAATTGATACAAACACTCCTGGTGAGTATGTGCACCACCAACACAAGGAGCTAACTGCATACACACAAGTGATTTAATAACTGCAGTTAGCTCTATGCCTGTGTAAACCAGGTCAACATAATTTTGTTGTGTAGATGTGGCCTGAGACTATCTTCCCTCTGAGAGCTATGACCAGTGGCATCCAGAGATCAAACAGCCTTCTTAAAACAAAGCATTGTTATTTTAGAGACAGAGCTTTTCAGAGCAACGTCTTTAAAAATAAGCAGCCTATATATGTCTGTCTTCTTTAAGGCTTGCCATCCACTGGAAGCCTGGGAAAGGCCCAGTTGTGTCAGACATGTCCCCAGGAATTGTCTCTGTGCTCCAATGAACAACTCTCCCCCCTTGCTCTCCGAGAATCTTTTTAATTACTAAGTATCCCTTTGATCTCTAGGCATTGGTAAAATAAATACTTCAGGGTACGTCTACACTGCAATGCTATTTCAAGATACTGTAGTATCCTGAAATAGCTATCCCGCGTCTTCAGAGCAAGCTCATTATTTCGGGTTCGCTATTCCAACATCCCTGTAAACCTCATTCTACGAGGAGTAAGAGACGTTTCGGAATAGCGATTTACTTTGAAATAAGTGCTGTGTAGGCAGCTCCAAATGACAAAATAAGCTATTTCAAAAAAGCATCGAAATAAGATACACAATTTGCCTAGCTCAAATTGCATAGCTTATTTTGAGTTACAGTGCGGTGTAGACCCACCCTCAATAATCTTGAGAGGGAGCCTGGAAGTAGCATCTTCACCACTATGAGCTGGGCCACCAAACCTTTCTTAGGAAGCTGCTTATCTAAATCCATTGTTTTCCTATTTGTTTTTCTAACAGCCCCTATTACTAATCCAATATATTCAACAAATAGTCTTGCAGCACCTTAGAAACTAAGGGTACATCTATACAGCAACATTATTTTGAAATGACTAGTGTCATTTCAAAATAACTTAGTTCGGGTCTACACGCAGGCAGTTATTTTGAAATAATGTCAAAATACTGTCAAGCTGGAGGACTTCTTACTCCAACTCGTGTAACCCTCATTGTACGAGGAATAAGGGAAGTTGGAGGAAGAGTGCTCTATTTCAAAATAAGTGCTGTGTAGACACTTCCAATTTCAGAATAAAGCTACACAATTAACGTAGCTCAATTTGCATAGCTTATTTTGAGTTAAGCCCTGCTGTGCAGATGCACCTTGGGGCAGCCACCTCAAACCGTCCTATGGTTGTGGCTCTGACCACAAACCTCGGATTGAAACTGAAAACCAGAAAAAGGAAAATGTACTAGTGTTAAGTCAGTATGCCTTACCAAAGGGGTGTTCCGGTCCTGCTTCTGCTATAAACTTCTTGTGTGACGTAAGCACTCTGTGGCTCAGCTCCCTATGCATAAAATAGGCATATTAATATTACCTTCCTCATCCCGTTGTCCTATCTACTTTGATTGTAAGCTGCTCAGAGTAGGGACTTTCTTACTATGTTTGTCCAGGACATAGTGCAATAGAGTGCCATTCTCAGATACTTCTAGGTCAGGGATCAGCAATGAGTATGGACACTCCCTAATAGTGCGCTTGGGAGGGGGTGTCTTTGCTCAATCATAAGGAAAATGTGTAACAATGGTAATAGCAACTGCAGTAAGATGGAAAGAACTCGTCCCAGCATTGCTGCAGAAAGGGTGCAGGCTACCTGCTCCCAAAACATACTGGCCAATGTGAGATAGAAGTAGGCCTGCTTTGTTGGTCCCTAAAGACTCAAAAAGGGTCTGCACCCTGAAGACTTTGGAAGGAAGAGAGTTTTTAAGGAGGTCTGTTATAGAGAATGGGAAAAGATTGTCCAAGCCAGCTTAACTCTTCATAAAACTTCATAGAATTTTCAAGAATTTGTTTCCGGAAGGAAACTGGGCATAATTCATTTTAGTTGAGATACTGTTTAAAAAGTATCACCTATTTAGAAGCTTTTATAGCTATGAATTTTACATCATGTTCTTAACACATTATTCATTAATAGTACAAAGCATAGGTTGTTAATTTTCAAAATGACACAGGAATGTATCCACAGGCCCGATATAGGAAATTACTTTCGCATATGCTTAAAGTTTAGCATTTGCTTAAACACTCTCTGTGAAGAATGATGATTTCATTAATTGGGACCTTATTTTATAGAGTCTTAATTCATACCATCTGGTGCTCAACTGTTTTTGACAGCTGTTGTTAATCTCCACTCAGAATGTTGACAGTTGAAATCTTTCATGAGGGAATTCATGTTTCAACTTGACAGCCCTATGGAAACTGATTCTTGGGCTCTAATTCTCAGGTTATAAGTCACAGACAAGCTTTTCTCTTGGTGAGCAGCATCTTGACATTTCAAAAACCTTTACTGAATATTATTATCATATCATCATCATTATTACTATTTTGTTCTAGTCAGAAATTATCCTGCTGTTATTTGATTTTGTTTTTTACGGGAGTGGGATACTTGTAACATCAATATAAAATTACAACAAAATAAATAATAATCTCTGAAGAAAATTCTCGATCAGCATGGTTTTGAAAATAGAATGTGTGTTGATCTGACATCTCTGTTTTGTGGGAAAAATAAATAAAGGTTGCTCACAAAGGCCATGATCCAGCACACCACTCAAATGTGTGAATTTAAGCTAAAAGAGTTATGTTCATTCTGAAAGTGCTTTGCTGGACTGTGGCAAAGGATATTACTAGAACTGGTCAATGTATTTAGCTACAATTTTGGTATTGAGGGACTTGACAAAAATGGCTTTTTGAACAAATCAAAATGTTCACAGGCGATTGTAGTTTTGCTTTAAATTATATACTAAAAATACAAAAGAAAATGGAAACGT